AATCAATCGAAAGGAGACTGCGACCACACCAGAGGCCACAACATCTCGGTATTCATATATACATTTTGAGTTGGTGGCCTTTTTGGTCGCAGTCTCTTTTAGCTTTATACTATTTGTTCTTCCCGGTGCAGTTCGCAGAGCTCCTGATCTTCATTCAGCCCTCCCTTCCCCTACCCTGCTTGCTAATTGGTCAAAGCTAAACATTTAAATCACTGTCTGACCATCTTGTACAACCAGATTTCAGACAGTCACACAGTGATTCTTATGTTTAGCAGCGACCAATTGACAAGCGGGTTAGGAGAAGGGGTGCTGAATGAAGATCAGGGGCCCTGCAAACGGCACCTGGTACCGATGGTGGAAATGATTACGCTTCACTAAACTCAATTGTAATAACGCCTTCTTTGGCGACACTGGAGGAAACTAGAGCACAGAATTGTGTTAATAAGTAGACGTGCCAAATTATGTGGGGTTGAGAGAAACAGATACAACACTAGAAGGAAGAACAAAAAATAGGGTCGAGGAGTGACGTCACAACGATTGAACAGAAATTGGTCAAGCGGATTGCCTTCACTTCTCACTTTGATGAGTACTGATGTTGTCAACTCTCACTGAAGATGCTAGCGAAACGCTTGGAAATGTACCAAGTCAATGGTTCGATCCTGGAAATCACGAATACTATGGCAGAGGATACAGAAATAGGTACGTTCCACAAGGTCTCTTCAACTAAGTTGCGAAAATGAGGTCGAACCAACACAAAATTTCCTGGCTTGATTTTTCTACTTACTATGGATATTTTATGGAATATACTATTTGCTAACCGTCGCCTTATCAATAGGCTGATTCGGATTTAGACCAAAGACTAATGGCCTGAATTAAATCTCATTTATTCCCGATCTACGAATAACAATATGTTATTCCTCAAATAACCCACATGTTGAACAATCTCATAGCCTTACTTTTAGCGCACAAGTGTTGCTTAATTATTATTTGCTATTTGGTCATTTTTATTTCATGGGGCATTTTAAATTTAATGTCCTAAATGACTAAGTAAAATTGGCTGATAACTGGTTAAATTAAATAGAAGCAAGCTTTCTTTTGAAACACCTGATTAACTTAGTTTTCTGTCTTACCCTAATTTTACTTTCACATTTGATATCCAGTGTCGCATTTCTGAAGCCATATCTTTACAGCCCGAGTCTACCCTTGAAGTATATGGCATTCTGCACAGAGTTCCAGAGGGTCAGTCGGCTCCGGGTGGACTTGAACTGCAGGCCGATTACTGGCGTCTGCTGGGTTCAGCTCCTCCTGGCGGAATCGACACTGTTTTGACTTCTGGAAGTGAAATCGACCTCCAGCTCGATAACCGACATCTTATGATCCGAGGCGAGAACGTGAGTTGCTTTTCATTTGAAACTAAAGATCTGAAAGCCATGCCTGTAGTGGATTATTTTCCACTTTTGATATACACTCCAGCAAGTTTCTACGTACCACTTATCGTAAATAAGATAGGATATCAAAACAAGCTGCTTTAGCCTGTCTACCAACAAGTAATGTCAATAAGGCTCTTTCAGAATTTGTTGTTTGTTAATTTTTATAATTATTTTTTGAATCAGTAACGGATATTTATTTATAACAAAAAAGTAATACATCATTTGGAACGTTCTCGGTGACATTCCATATTGATAAAATTTCCCATTTTTGTGGACGGACGCTTATTTGAAATTGCTGACATTACTCCAAGTTGTGGTTGCGCCAGGCTTGAATATACGCTCCTTTGAGTAAATGTGTAGCTGACATTCGTATCGAGCTATATATTTATCACAATGACAAGTGGATTCAGGTATTGGTAAAAGTATTTATATCTAAATTTTTATTTGTTCATTCTATTTTTCAGACTTCAAAAATTCTTCGTTTAGTAAGTATCGTTGCCAAAGCCTTCAGGGCGCATTATGAAGATCGTGGTTACACTGAGGTGAGCTAATTTTGTGCACTGGGAGATTATATCTACTTTTG